TAATTTCTCGCTGCTTGAGAATCTTGCTGGACCAGAAAAGGTGGTCAGGCTTAATGAACTGCGAGACTATACAAACAACGGAACAATAATGGACCTCGTGGAAAAAATTTGTGGTAATGAAGCATTATCTTTGATATTTGTAAAACAGACATGACCCAGACTTCTTCTTTTCGCAAAGAAGGTTGTGGGCTGACCTACTATAATGAATTCTGCACAATGAAAATTATACATACTTGTACTTTGGGTGGTTTCTTGGGAAATAACAAGGCAGGTGGTTTTGTCCAGTCATGCGCGACGTCATCGAACTTGATATGACATTACATCATATCACAGTATATCACTTCACATCACATCCCATCTCATTACCTCACACCACATCACATCACATTGCATCACAGCGTATCAAATGACATCACATCACAACATATTGCAGCACATCACATCCTGTCCTCACCTCACATTACATCAAATCACGTCAAATCACATAAAATCATATCACAGCACATCATGACGCATCATATCGCATTTTAGAATCAAATGACGCTAACCTCCAAAAGCATATAGGTTTCTACTGCACTAAAGAACATGGACAACACATTTCAGGTCCCACCCCAAGAAACTTGCCTTAGATTTCGTGTTTCTTGCTTTGTTTTTCGAAATAGAAGGAAAGAAAAGAAATTGTCATTGATCGTTTACGCCGTAGAACGCATTCAGGAACTCGACAACATTGTAGATAGGACTTGAAGAAAAAAATTGTGCTTCTTCTTATTATAATGTTAAACAGAGATTGATGGCCTTTACACCCCCTGGAGTGAGTGGTCGGTCTGCAGTGATACGTGTGGCAATGGTGTTCAGATACGAAGCAGAAGCTGCACTGCTCCACCCCCACAAGAAGGAGGAAAAGATTGCGTTGGACCGCCTGATGAGGTCAGGGAGTGCAACATGGGAGCATGCGCAAATGACTTAATTAGCAGTGATGAGGTAACTACCACTCCAATTTCTCCTTCAGCACGCTCAGCGACTCTAAATAGCTCTGCTTTTGCGTGTTTTTTGACGGCCCAATTTAGGGAAAAGATTTATTGTACGTGAGAAGGAAGTGGGGTGTACCTGGGAGTACCCTTTGCAAATAGATCCTATGACGAAATAAACGGTCTTGGTCACGTGTTATGACTTTTAGAGCACAATATAATAAAACAGTTCGTTGAAGGAGCCTCTATTATTTAGACATCAATTTATGAAGTACATTACGCACAACGCTATAAAAGGGACCAGTAATTGAATTCACAACTTGGTGTCCTTATTGTCATTTCATATTGTTCCGCTAAACGGGTTTCAAACTTGAACGATGGGAAAATTTGAAAGCGGAGCTCACATCAAAATTGAGGTGAATAGGCGTGTGCTTATTAGTCATCACATGACTAACGTTGTCAAACTTATCACAAACGGAATGCACTTCGTTTCATCATCAACGATTGTCGCGACTTCGATTTCGTCGGGAATACCCGTACAGAGTTTCCTACGATATCGTAGAAAAACAAGATTAAAAATACGCACTAGAGTTATGGGCTTAGAGGGTCACCCGCCGTATAAAATGTTGCCAGAGGTTAAGAACACCGGATACCGGTTTGGAAGAAAGTCAGCCGTGAAACCTAAAGTAAACACGAAGCGTTTTATGAATTCTTTTGTAAACCGTCTAACCTTTAAATACGACTTAGCTCCTCAATTTCTTTAATTTTTTATTGTTATTCCAAGTACTGTAGCGTGCTTTTTGCATTCATAATTTTGTAACATAGGATATGTGTGTTGATCTTATGAAATAAAGACTGATTGTTATTATTATTAATTTAAACATTACTATTATTATTGTTATTATTATTATTATTATTATTATTATTATTAGAAACTACACATGGCGTATTTCTACTTCCTCTAACTTGATTACTTCCTTGAAGTCATTGCTTTGAAATAATTGCCTTTTTAGGGTATAGCGGAATAAAGCTCAGGATAAAGCTACACCGAAAAACACTGATGATTCCATGGGAAAACATTGGGGATTTTTATATCGTAAGGGTGCAATGGTGAATGGGACTTGAAGGGGTTTTAGGGATTATTGGATGTCATGGCTACTATTTTCATATGACGAAACAACTCGAACGTTTTTTTTTTTTTTGTGATCTGATCATCTTAAGGGTCTGTTAAAGCAGTGTAAAAGGTCTTCTGATTTAGTTTGCATGTTTAAACGCACTTGTATTTTTTACTCATATGTGTCTTTTTCGCTGCCATCTTCGTTAAGGTTGCTTGATTTCACTCCTAACAGAATGCTTTGTTTCAGTATTAATTATGTTCGCAGCCGCTCGGGCCGGAGTCACGTAATCCATGGAGGAGAGCATTCCGTGACTTCTGCCCGAGCGGCTGCGAAGGAGACTTGTACCGTTTACACAGAGGTATCTACATTAGGATCGGGGCTATAGAAAGCGTCTTCAGTTGGTATGGTAGTTGAGTTTACTTTGACCTGAAAAAAATGTAATTTATTGTACAGGAAAAGAGCAAACTTATGCTTTATGAATTCATTTGTATCAGAAAGTAAGGAAAGTTAATTTTATCATCAAGGCAGAGGAGAAGATCAAGTCTCCAGCTTTTAAATTCACACGCATTCTTCGATTTGTTTTGTTCGTAAATAGAAGTTTCGTTGTGTCATACAAGACCTCAAAACTAAATAAATCAATGAAAATAACAACAATAACGGCAATTGTACCTTTTTCAACAACTCCTCAGAGACGCTAATTCATCTTTTCTGGTCATGCCATGTTACATCATCTTTTGGAAAAACGTGACTGATTGGCTACAAAACACTCCTCCGATAGGCGGTAAATACAACTTAATGAATATCACTGCACTGAGCTTGAGGCTGGAAACTCATTCTTCAGGATACTCACTTCAATTAAGCTACTGTCTACTGCTAACACGGTTTCATATTTGGCAAGCCAAAATGGATGAAACATCGCCTAATTTTGAGAAAAGCAGGGGACTCCCAAAAATGGAATTTCTTGCCGATAGCTCTCAATATAGCTCTTGATATGAATTGTTCTCTTTCCCCTGACGGACGGATAAATACTAAAAAATTTTTTGAAAAAATCGCACTGTTTATCTTTATTCAACTGAACAAGATTTAAGTGTTAATATACAATCAAAGTTCGTTCTTTGCTCCCGCATTACGTACATGAGTGGTTGAACAGTGCTTTTTGCTTACTGTTGTTGTATTCTTGTTGTATTTTATCAATAAATTAATAAAATAATAATAATAAAAAATAACAATTTGAGGGACTGAGATTTGATGTGTTTGATTTTTGTAATCCCCGCCGTTCCTTTAAACTGTAGCTTCCAAGACTAATTCAGGCTTACAAGCTAACTACTGCTTACTAGCCATTTGTTGTGGGTGTCAAGAAAGCAAAGAAGCACGGGTTTTGACACAACTTTAATCCGCTCGAAAAGGCTCATATACATCGATTTACAACGGAATGTACAGCCCGAGACTGCTAAAACTTACAAGATACAAGAGTCACGTGACATTAAAATCTACATACTAGGGTAGGGTAGGGAAATTGTCCTTAGTTTCACTCTTACAGTTTTCTTTACGACTCGAGTGTAATCGAGTCCCATAATCTTTAACAGTGTGTAACATTTGTATAGAGAGGGAGGTTGTCCTCTTCCCCTGAAAAACCTTTGTGAGAAAGGCATCTAGCGAACAGAATAGTGAATGTACAATCTGGACCCGCATTATTTGCTTTAAATTACTCCCGTTTTCGTGGCCACTACAACATCAAGGGCTAAGCGATGAATCATTTTATTTTGAATGTAATTACATAGCGCCAATACTTAATTTCATTATTTAAAAGTTACTTGAAGAAAGCGTTTTAAATTAATGTTTAGTCCAAATCGCAGTAGATCGGAGTGGAACCCTTGTTAATGTCTTCTCATTTTGGTACAACTGGCGATCACTGTTTCCAACAACAATGTGTCCAATAAAGTTAACGAGTTCTCTACCGAGGATGTATAATTAACACACATGGGGTGCTATTTGTTAATGCCTTCATGACACTCTATGCAACCCGTTTACCCTTTTTTGTTTACTAAAAGATCACCATATGAAAACAACCCTAATTCAGTAAAGCGGTAACCTGCGAATACAGCCGTCTCTTCTCGTTCCTCGACGCTAGAGACGTTTCGCAGGAGAGACGTCTGTATTCGCATGCTAGTCAGTAAACCTACCGAAGGTAAAGCTGAAGTTTGGCAGGCAAAGCTTTTTTCTTACTTAGTGCAAATATGGTGCAAAAAAGTGCAAACTAAGGTTAAATCAAGGGCAAAGATGGTAAATACCGCATTTGACCACGAATTTACAACCCCTTATAAACCGGTATGCAAATGCCGTATTTACCATCTTTGCTTTTAATTTTCTCCTAGTTTGCACTTTGTTGCACTATATTTGCCATGAGGAAATTTGTGTAAACTTAAATTTGCGTGCAGTGTTGAGTACTTGTATGTCCAACATTGTTTTAATTCATTTGACGTAAAGAATAACTGCCAGGAAAGTTTGAGCTTTTCTTTCAGGAGAACCCGACCAAGGTTTGAGTGTGGAAAATCCCACGCTTTCATTAACCTGTTGACAAAAATTATTTCCGGTCCTTAAAATCTCATTCCGTATCATCCCGGATATCCTCAAGCGGTGACGCCAAATAGCAGCGTCTTCAACATCCGGTTATGATTTCCTAAAATGTAACTTGCAAACGTCTGTAAATTTTCGCAACTTTGCGAAGCTATATCTTTGCTCGCTTAAGACGTATGAATAACTTTTAAAATTCAGGTAACCTCATTAATTTAAAGGCGCTCTTTCCAGCACAGTCGATGGATTTTCCCAACTTGTTCATGTAAAAAGTTGAAAAAACCTTGAAAGGGTCTGTTCTACCCGAGGCATAAGTTTATCACCCTATGGTAACTGCTATGTGTTGTACCCTCTCTGGATAAAGTCTAAAGTACAACTGATTTGGTAAACTTTATCTTATCCCAGGGCTTTATTTTTTTTAATTCGTTCACTCCTCCTAAAGGCCTTTAGGCCATATAAAACTTAACTCAGTTTAATTGTTATGAACCTCCGGAAAAGTTGAGTACTAATCAAAGTTGACGACAAACGCAGACTACTTAGTCAGAAACACATCAATTAACTGAATAACAAGAATAACCGTAAGATCATTTACACTGAATACTGAATAAGCTGACGAGTAGAGAAACATTCTATTTAAATGCACCTCAGTTACTAACAGAAGCACTTCACAGGAGGAGCTCGAGAGTCGCCAGCAAGGTTAGTTACTTGATTTCTTGATTGTTACTTAATATTAGGGGGAAAGCTTTTTACTTTTCTACTTGTTCGCTTCTCGAAAGCCCGTTTGGCCATTACTGACAGAATGAGAGTAAACCAGTTTAATGGTTATAAATCTGCCACAAAGTTAAGTACTAATCAGAGTTGTCAACAGACGACGTCTACTTAGACAGAAACACATCTGTATTCAGTCATTTCACAGAACCAGTGATTCAAATACATGTAAATGGAATATCCTTTAAATCATTTATACTGAATTCTGACGAGTAGAGAAACGTTCTTCTTTACATGAATACCTCGGTTCCTATATTAGAAGCACTTCACGAGAGAAGAGTCACCAGCGAGGTTAACTCACTTCCTTTGCTTGAGATATGATAGACAACAAAATTGCACAAGTGCTACGTACTTAATTTTAAGGGAAAGTCAAAGGAAAGGAGAATTTATGCGATTACAGCAGCTCCGAGCTGAGAATTCATCTCTTTGTTTTAACAAAGTAAGGGGGCTAGGGTTTCAGCTGTTTCACTTCCTTTCTCTCCCTTTAGCCCTTTTAGTCTCTCTAGTATATCTGAGACATCTTTCTTATTTACTGACTTCCTGTTTTAAATTTCGCAAGACTTTGTTTAAGAAAGTTCCGCTATTTCAAAGTGATTATCGTAAACTAAATACCATAACATCCTCGGTCGAAGAATTGTAAATTTGATACCGTGCTGCTCTTTTTTGGACCAATTCGAAAGAAATTCACACAATCCATTGATAAGCGCATTTTATACCTTCTGCCAATCTTTTGGTGTATGTAAGAAAACGGTGTTTTCAACCCTTGGCTTATAAGGATTGAGTGTAATAAGTTCTGTTTAATGTGGAGCGATGCAGCTTATGTATTTCTGAGCCTATTTCGAACCCATTTAGCTCTCAGTTTAGGTAAGAAACCTATTCAGGAAGGATAGATCTTTGCACAGATACCTCGTTTTGGAAATTCGGATCAACGGCTCATCAATCCTGTCGGCGTTACACACACAAAAAAACTACTAACATTTTGAGAAAAAAACCACTGCCAATTTCGTTCTTCATTCAATACAGTTTCCAGATACAGTGAGTCCCCCAGCCTGCGAATACGACCGTTTCTCAAGGAAGTTAGGAGAAACGGCTGTTTTCGCAGGCTAAGTTTCCACTTTTTCTGGAAAGGTAGTCAGCGACAGTTCCGTGAGAAGGAAAGATGATAAAGTGGGTGACAAAAATTTGATGTAGAAAAAAAGGAAATGGAAAGAAAGAGAGCAAGCAAGAAAGATTAAATAGATTCGCGACAAAAAATATCATCTTATTGGAATCCGCCAGCGGCAAAAATGAGGCCTTAATTCATATCCAATCCAATTAACAGAAAATTTCTCATTAGGATTTCAAGGTTGGTCGAGAGATTTAAAAGTCAACTCCCGATAACTCGAACCCACTAGGAAAACTGAAAGAAGTTCGAGTTACATGGAGTTCAAAGCAAATAACCGTAAATAACGAAATAATCAAATGGGTGGGGAGGGAATGCAAGCATCATGTAGTCATGTCAAGGGCAGCAAGAGTTAAATTAGTATTTTGAAAAAAGGAATTGAAGCAACAAAGGTTAAATAATATTCAGGGCCAGACAATTGCTGTGTACTTGAACTGGATCCTGTCAAAGAAGTACAGGCAAATAATACACGGTATCGGACCGCAGAACATCGTCTTATTTTTTCGACTTGTCACGCTCTTGAAAATTAGTGCGAGTTTTCTAGGGTAAAATTATATAGAAACGACCTGAAGGGAAACAAAAATTACGTCGATTTAGCGGGAGGTTCGAGTAATCGACTTTGCGAGCTACTGAGGGTAAAATTATAGCAAATGTATGAAGGAAATCCAGAGAAAATCGATTTTGGTTCCAGTCAGCGAGAAGGTTCTAGATATCAGTTGTCTTCTGTATATAGGAAACAACAAGATGATTTTAGATTTTCACATAGTAATTAACGTGAGTAGATGCACGGGTGGTACGTTATTGTAGCTTACAACACATTATAATAGCTTTTTTTTTTTCACCAATTAGCACAGAACCATTCGCGATATCTGTCTCAAGTGGACAATGACTAATTCAGGTGAATAGAAAG